GCAGGACAGGACAGGCGGGCGGGCACAGGCCCGGCAGCCTCAGCAGCCGTCAGGCAACATTTTTCTGCCCCCTTTCCACCACCCACCTCCCCCACCCCCACACCCCCCCACCCACAGCCCCAGGGCTCAGAGCTCCCTCTGCTGGCTCCCAGGAGGTGGGGTCAATTGAAGGATCCTGGGGGATAGGGAGTTGGGAGGGAGGGAGGATAGAGAGACTGGCATGCTTGCTGTGCCACTTGACTTACATGGCCAGTGGTCCTTTTGGCCTCGGTGATCTAGCTGGGCAAGGCGATGGGTCCCAGAGGGTGCTCTGGTGCCTGGGTAGGCTGGATGGGAAAGGAGACCTAGATCCAGACTGGACAGAAAAGACAGAGTGTTGGAGGAAGAACATTCTTGACTCCACACATACCACCCTACGTCTCTACTGTTCGCCCTTCCCTGAGCAGGCCTGAGAATACAAACTCTTGTTGGGATCGCTCTCTGGACAGGCCATTATACGCAGAGTGGGAGTATTATGGTTTCCATTTCCCAGGTGAAGAACTTGAATTTAACTTTTATCATCTATACAACAAATATTAAGTGTGTTTCACATGCCAGGGTCTCACTCCACATGACACAAGCAAACTACAGTTTGTCCCTAAGCCTTGGTCCCTAAAACCCTGCATGTGTTTCACTGAGGACACCATGCCCACTTGTGAGATTCCTGTCTTTAATGAGACTTCTACCTGATTGAGGAGACAAGGCAAGCAATCACACAGGCAGGACACACTCAAATGAGTGACAACCAGAGGAATGTTGCTGGGGTCAGGATCGGTGCTCCTGGGACAGGGTCGGTGCTCCTGGGACAAGTCGGAGCTGAGGCGAGGTTGGTGAGATGCTGGCTAAGGATGTCTTGAGGACTTACAGTTGCAGAGGAAGTGGTCTTGAGTCTAGAAATGTAAAGGCACAGACTGGGATGCAGTCAAAGCCCTGACGGCAGGGGTGAGCTGTGTGGAACACACTGTGAGAGGCCATGACTCAGGCAACCATCCCCTTCCAGTCTTGCTCTGCGTGTTACCGTTTTATTTTTATTTTTATTTTTAGCAGTACTGGAGAGTGAACCCATAGCCTCAAGCGTGCTAGGCAAGAATTCTATGGCTGAACCTTTTATTTTGCGATAGGGTCTTACTAAGTTCCCCAGACAGCCCTTGAGCTTTCAATCCTCTTACCTCAGCCTCCTGAGTAGCTGGAACTATAAAAATGTGCCAATAATCCGACTCCTCTTGTAGGATATTTGTCATTGTGGAGACATGGCCTCGCTTTGGAGCCCTGGCTGCCCTAAAACTTACTATAGACCAGGCTGACTTCTAACTCACAGAGATCCACCACCTGCCTCTGCCACCCAACTAAGCGTTGGGGTTAAAGGTGTCTGCCGCGGTGCCTGGCTCTGTATAAAATTACCTACCTTGTTTTTCAATGACGAATCCCTCCAGTATGTGGCTGGTGACCGTCAGCTGCACTTACCTTGCTCACCTTCGTGATCTAGAGGTGACATTTTCCTTCTACTCTCCGAATCCAGGGGTAGAAGAGTAAGCTGAGCCAGAATCCTGGATTCTCTGGGGCTCGGGTCTATAGACATTGCCGGTAGGAACTGCCTGGCATCTGATGATATCTTAACAGACCATTGATTCTTCAACCATGGTCCTTGAGAGAGAATTCTCAGCATAAGCCAGGACAGTTAGAATGGCCTGATGGTCTTTTCCCTTCTTGTCTGTATATTGAGTTCTTTTCAGGGCTAGCCATGTTCTCTGTGCCATAAGTGGCAATGTGATTATGTCCCAGAGTCTGTGGTAGTATGTATATTCTCTGCCACCATATATTCCAGGCTTTGAAATGTGCATATTGCCCTAAGAGGGTGCATCTTCTCTGGGCTGACCCCACATTAACACTGATCCAGAATCCCCCAAAGCAGAGCTCATTATGTCAGGAAACAAAAGGGCAGGAGGCAAAGTAAAAGAGAGGGCATGAGAGAGGAGAGTGGGGAATTGCTCTAGAGGCAGAGTTGAGTATTACTGAGAGCGGAATACTCCTTCCATCAATCCATCATTTTTTTTTTTTTTTTCTGAAGCCCATAAAGGAAACTGACTTGTCTGGAATGGCCCAGCCCACCCAGAACTGACAAAAACCAGGGTCAGAGGTAGGGCTGGATAGTTTGTTCAATGCCCCCTGTCATGTCCTTTTTGGCATTTTCATTTCCTATGTATTTAGGATGGGAGTGAGGACAGAAGGGCAGGGAACAGGCTGGTCCCTTGGGATTCTAGTGTTATCACTGCCCAGCCCTCCTCCTGACCAGCTGGTAAACAGGACTAGTTCCCAGGAAGCCAGCCAGCCCCCTCAACCCTGTGAAGGGCCAGCTCCACCTCCTGAGGGCCCTGCCCTTCATATCCCCATGATTCTTTTTCTATCTCTAGCCCCTGGGAAGCAGACAAGGTCAAGAGGATTTTGCAGTTCTCCCTTGCATGCCCCAAACTCCTGCTTTGCTAGGGGAGGGGGGTGTGTGATGGGGCAGAGCGACCTTGGGAAGATAAGTCCAGTCAACCTTGGAAAAATAGGAAGCGTGCAGAGGGCAGGGGTTGGATGGGGGTGGGTCTGGGGAACTTAGCAGTAAGGGCCGTGGAGATGGGGAAGGCGAATTTTCAGAACCCCACAGTCAGTGTGCAGGTGGCAGGAAGGGGGGCTGAACAGCTGCAGAGAGGCTGCTTTGCTCCTCTCATCTCAGGGAGGAGAGAAAATGTTTGAGGATATGACACTAGGAGTCACGAAATGATACCATGTCTATCAATGGGACCTGGACTCAAGGGAGGGCCTTGTGAATCATTCATTCCGATACATATGTTAAGTACTCACTGTCATTATATATCTGTATTTATACATCTATAATGTAGAATTCACGACACACAAGTTTTCAGAATAAGCATTGCAGGGATATGAGTTAGATACTCAGAAGGCTTCCAGGGAAGATAAAGGAGAAAAAAAAGAAGAAAATTGTCCCAACCATGAGGGAGCTCAATATTATCTATCTGCCCTGAACAACCAAGCTGGAAGCCACTCAAATCCCTTTTTAATGAGGTGGATAACTGGACAGATTTACTAACGAAGAAGATGTACACAGAAGAGTAGGACTGAATTCTTTTTGTAGTGCAATTTTTAGGCACTGAATGGAAAAAGAACCAGTGGGACAATACTGATCTCAGTTGGGAGCAGGGTAGGTGGTTGGATGAGCAGATAGAGACTGATCAATTCTGCAAGGTCATTGGGCCATTGGAAGCCAGTTTGGGCTGTCCTACCCTTGGCTCACTCACTGCTCATTACTCTATTGGTCCCTTCTCTGGGGCTCTGAGAGGGTTAGGGTTAGGGTTATTGGTGGGCTCCCAAGCTCAATACAAGGGAACCTCTGCTGTGTGTTGCTGCTGAGAAGGGATGCCTGATCTCTGAACTATTTAAGTAGGGATAAGAGCAACTTAATCCCTCATCCAGTGTGTGTGTGTGTGTGTGTGTGTGTGTGTGTGTGTGTGTGTGTGTGAAAGGAGGGAGTGAGAGCCAGAAATCTTAGAGAGAGAGAGAGAGAGAGAGAGAGAGAGAGAGAGACTCCATATCTTTCTGCAAACATCTCCCTGGGCACCTCATCTTCAGTGCTGAGAGTTTTACCTTAAGATCTAAATTCCTCTTGCTGCTATTTAAGACCATTACATCTCAGGACATGCCTGGGCAGCTTGTACTTGTGGAGTAAATGGGGACAGTGGGGCGGATATGCGTGGAAGCAAAACTGAAAAGTAGGACACTCTGACCTTTCACACTCTTTTGCCAACGTTTTCCTCTATGTTTTATACCCCACCGCCTCCTGTGTGACCCCACCCCCATCTGTCTTTCTCTGCTCTCTGCAGAAGGGATTTGAACGGTCTCAAATTAACCTCTGTAGCTCTGCCCACATAGCCCTTCAAGCCTGAGCTCTCAGCTATGTTCAAATAGGAGCCATCTGATTCAAGTGGTTTCCCCCCAGGTGTGAATTCCTGGCTGACAACCTATGGAAAGCAAGTGGCAGCTCTCTCCTCAGGTGGAATGAAGGTGGGCAGGGTAAAGACGCAGCTGACAGCGTGCAGAACTTTCCACCAGGTCTCTACCCACCAAACCAAACACCCCCCCCCATCCTCCAGTTGATTATGTCACCCTAGTACACAGGGCTTGGCTCAGTGCCATCTCTCTCTGGGAAAGCCAGCTACCCTGGAGCAAGAGAAGGGTCAGCATCACCTACTTGCCAACAACACTGAGAAGCTAAGTTGCCAGCTCCTTCCTCCAGCTGTCTAGTTCAGGGAAACAGGGGGGAGCAGGATAGAAGGGCCCACCTCAGCCATCTAAGCTCAGTTTTCTCATTTTACAGCAACGGTTGGTCTAAGAAGGGCAGTGTCTCTTTTTCAGAGGCTCCATTCCCTAGATATTTTAATACCTCACGGTTGTTTTGTCCTTCAGATGGTCCCTGCCCTGTTTGGGTTGCATCCCACTAAGACCACATCCCTTCCTTGACTCTTCTTTAGAACACTTTCTTTATGAAACATGCACCGCCCCCGTCCCCAGGACAGCTCTTTTTTGTCTGCTAATTTCTTCCTTGTCTCCCTTTTGGACTAGGCCCGTTGAGTTTTAACCTTGGCCTCCCTGGTGCCATCTGCCTTCACCTTGAGTGAAGTTCCTATAAAGGTTTATTCATGAAGGGGTACACAGAGGGTATGACTGAATTCTTGTCGTAACACAATTTTCAGTCCAGACTTCAGCAAAGAGGGAACACAGACATGGGACGCAAAGAGAACCAGGGGGACAATGTCGGTCTCGGTTTGGAGCAGGACGAGATTCCTGTAGCACCTGGCTGTGGGTTGAGGGGGGCTGGTTCCCTCTTCTTCACCCCCACCCCACCCTACATCTTTCATTTTGGGGGAGGTGCTCTCCTAACCTGAAGTTCTGCTCCCCAGGGCCGTGGGCAGCCCCCTGGTCATGGATCCTATAAGCATCTGCAGAAAGGCCAGGCGGCTGGCAGGACGGCAGGCGGAGCTGTGCCAGGCGGAGCCGGAAGTAGTGGCAGAGCTTGCCCGGGGCGCAAGACTGGGGGTCCGAGAATGTCAGTTCCAGTTCCGTTTCCGACGCTGGAACTGCTCCAGTCACAGCAAGGCCTTTGGGCGCGTCCTGCAGCAGGGTTAGTGTGGAAGAGGCCTCGAGGGAGGTGCTTTCTCCTTGCTAGGGGAGCAGGCTTGGGGAGGTTGCTGGAATTCCATCCCCTGATTTACCCCTAGGCACCCTGCCCACCCTGTCCCTCTGCACCTGCTTAGAGTCTGTCTCCCTGGGGGCCTCAGTTCCCATCTAAAGTACTAGGCACTCACTGGCCTCCGCTCCATCTCCCTCCGCAGACATTCGAGAGACAGCCTTCGTGTTTGCAATTACCGCAGCCGGTGCCAGCCACGCGGTCACTCAGGCCTGTTCCATGGGAGAGCTCCTACAGTGTGGTTGCCAAGCACCCCGCGGGCGGGCACCACCTAGGCCCTCCGGCCTTCTGGGCACTCCTGGACCTCCGGGGCCAACAGGCTCCTCAGATGCCAGCGCAGCCTGGGAGTGGGAAGGCTGCGGAGATGATGTGGACTTCGGGGATGAGAAGTCAAGACTCTTCATGGATGCACAGCACAAACGAGGACGCGGAGACATCCGTGCCCTGGTGCAACTGCACAACAATGAGGCAGGCAGGCTGGTGCGTATGGGCAGGGGAAGTAGGCGTCACGCAAGAGTATGAAAATGTGGGTGTGCAGGAGAGTGGGTGTGGCAGAGTGGGTGGCAGCATATTTGAGGTAGCGTGGACACAAGGAAAGGTGTGAGTGTGTAGGAGGATGTCGACCCTGTGTGTGGGTCCGAGCAAGACAGGGACAACTTGGGAAGATTGGGACCTGCACACAGGTACTTGTGGCAGGTGAGAAGCCCAGTGTGGAGCCGGGCCTGGAGCTGAGAGGAACACCGAGCAGAGTGGGGAAAAGGGCACTTTTAGAATAGTACCCAGGGCCAGTAGAGACCCAATGTAGGGTATATCCCTCTGATACACGGTAAGGTTTGGGGCTGCTAGAGGATGTCAGGGCAGAAGCAGGGTAATGAGACAGAAGCTAGGGATGAAAGTAAGAATAAGAGGCCAGGGAAAGGTCTGGGGTCCGGTGGTAGAGGTACTAGAGACAGTGAGGGTTGGAGTAGGCCCTGGAAGAACTGACTTGGAAAGGACTGAAGTCCAGTGGGAATAGGCCAGGCCAGCGTGGACCCAGCGTCAGAGCAGCAAGGGAGAAGACTATGGGGATTCGGTTCTCTATAGCGCATTCAGCCGGATCCTCCTACATCCTATGTCTCAGTTCTAGGGCGTTTGAGGGACATCCCTCTACACATTCTGTGTCCTTTAGGGTTCAGCCTGAGGCATCAGGCAGACAGGGAGGAGGGGGCCCGGGAGAGGAATGTCCGGACAGGCCCACATACCTGTAGAGAGGATTGAGGAGGGGTGACAGACAGACGCCCAGGCCCAGGCCGGTTGTGTCTGCTCAGCTCTGCCTGGGGCTGTGAGGGGCAGGAATCGGGAGGCTGGGTTGGCAGGAGGGTTAGGCTGCGACAGCTGCTACTTCTCCCAGCTCCAGGGAGAGTGGAGAATCTCACCACAGCGTCTATTCTGTTCTCTCCCCGCTCCCTGGCTTCGGACCCTGGAATCTCTGCTTTCTACTTCCATTTCCCACTTTCTTACTCCTCCGTCCTTGTCATTCTTCCTTCTTTCTGAGCGGGTTTTCTGGTTTTCTTGATTTCATTCTTGTGCCTTCCTTCCTTCCTTCCTTCCTTCCTTCCTTCCTTCCTTCCTTCCTTCCTTCCTTCCTTCCTTCCTCCCCCCCTCCCTCCCTCCCTCCTTCCTTCCTTCCCCCCCCCCCCCCCACCCCCGCGCCCTTTCCCCCCCCCCCGCCCCTCTCGGCCCCGCCCCTCGCCCTGGTCCTGTGCTCCCGCAGGCGGTGCGGAGCCACACGCGCACCGAGTGTAAGTGCCACGGTCTTTCCGGTTCGTGCGCGCTGCGCACCTGCTGGCAGAAACTGCCTCCGTTCCGGGAGGTGGGCGCACGGCTGCTGGAGCGCTTCCACGGTGCCTCGCGCGTGATGGGCACCAACGACGGCAAAGCCCTGCTGCCTGCGGTCCGCACGCTCAAGCCTCCGGGCCAAGCCGACCTCCTCTACGCCGCCGACTCACCCGATTTCTGCGCCCCCAACCGGCGCACCGGCTCTCCCGGCACACGCGGCCGGGCCTGTAACAGTAGTGCCCTGGACCTCAGCGGCTGCGACCTGTTGTGCTGCGGTCGCGGACACCGCCAGGAGAGCGTACAGCTGGAGGAGAACTGCCTGTGTCGCTTTCACTGGTGCTGCGTGGTGCAGTGCCACCGCTGTCGCGTGCGCAAGGAGCTCAGCCTGTGCCTCTGACCCGCAGCCTGCCACTCAACTGCGTGCAGTCTGCAGGACCACTGTATTCCAGCAGGGTGCGCTGTTTGGACCGAGCAGGGTGCTCTGTCTGGACCCAGCGGCTCCCCAGGAAAAGTACATATCTAAAGCCTTGGGGGACTACAGGGGGCAGGAACTTGGGGTTTACATCTGACCATGAAGGCCTGGGGACCCTACCCCTTCAGCATTCCCCAGAATGGCCCTCTGTTAGTTTCTGCGGGAGACTAAGCAGGCTTTCCTTCCCCTTGGTCTTCCAGATGGAAATTAAAAAAGTAAAAAAAAAGCCAGACTCTGGCCTCTGGAGATGGTACTCCTCAGAATTACTGGGGTGGATGGGTGACTTCAGTATCAATAAAGACATTTAAACCCCTGGATTGAGAGGAGGTAGTCCTAGAGGGCCAGGATATGGAAGGAAGGTGGTCCTGACAGAACTAGTATTTCAGCCTGGATCTATCCATTCCAGCCATCACTGGGGCACGGAGGGTTAAGGCTGGTGGAAACCTCCTATCTCTTCTTTGGTATGCTTTTTGTTCGTTCTTATCCACATCAAGCACTTGAATTCGGAGAACTAGTGATCCCATTTTTAAAGGGACACGAAGGGCCCAGAAGCTTGTAGTAGTCTGCTCAGGTGTCAGGTTTTTGTGTTAGTTTTTAGGGCATTATGTCTGTTTCTGTGACTCCTGAGGAAGTCAAGGGTAGGCTTTTGGGGTCATGAGATTAAAGCTATTTATAAACTGGAAAAAAAAAAAAAAGAAACAAAAATTTACAATGAAACTACTTGTGAGGAACACCCCCTTTTGTTACCATCAAAACTAACCACCCATCAGTTCTGGGTGGTTAGTTCAGGGCTAACTAACCCTGTTCAGGGCTGGGAGGTCTCTCAGTCAGGTAAAGTGCTTCCTTTGCAAGCACAAGGGCTGGTCCTGAGTTCCATCCCCAGAACTCTCATTAAAAAGCCCACCATGGTGGTGCACTTTAACCTCACCACTGGGGAGAGGGAGACAGGAAGATCACTGGGGCTAGCTGGCTAGCCAGCCTAGCCTACTTGGTGATTTCTCAGCAGTGAAAAACTCTCAAAAGGAGAGGGGCCTTCCAGATGGCTCAATAGATAAAGGTGCATGCTGTCCCTAGGCCCCATGGCCTGAATTTGATCCCCAGAACCCAACACAATAGAGGAGGAAAATAGACTCTTGCAATATAAACAAATAAAAATAAATAAATAAATAAATAAATAAATAAATAAATGTATAATAACTTCAAAAGACAATACCCAAGTTTGTCTTTTGGCCCCCATATGAAAACACACACACACACACACACACACACACACACACACACACACACACATACAATGTAGACTAACCAACATAGTGTTTCTAATCACACTCGGAGGAAACAAATTTGTCCCAGGGTTTTTTTTTTGGCACCCAACCACATGACTTTTTTTTTTTTTTAACCTGATCCCCCCCCCCAGGAAACCGATTGTAAAGGGCTAAAGGACACAAAATTTAGCCTGAATTCAGCCCCAGCTGTGTTGAATGCAGACTTAAGTGATGTTATTACAGATCTCTCTGTCCCTCCTCCGCCTTCTCTGTCTGGGTTCTCTAGAGCTGATGCCACATCTTCAACCCAAGAGTGTGGTATGCACAACGCAACTGTAGAATATCCCCCCAGCGCAGAAGCTGCAACTGGGGGATAATCTTCTTCCCTCCAGCTAAGCAGGAAAAGATACGAGGTTTTGGTCAGATATTCGGGTTTGACGCTGGTAAAGCACAGGCCAGAGTGGGCTGTTTCTCTACCTGTGGGTTCTCGCTCTATTTTAATTACCCATTACTATATGGCAACAACACCAAAGGAACTACTCAGTGTTCTTTTCTTGGGCAGCTATCCATCAGCGCTCAGCTCCATGGTTCTGTCCATAGGGAAGACTATGCAGGGCAGCTGGGGTCGTTCTGCTAGAAGACATGCTGGCCTAGGGAATCCTTAAGGTTTTGTTTCCACGCCTAAGGACTCAGTGCTTCTCCAACACTCTTTTCTCCCTGTGGCTGTCCTGGGCTCTCTTCCAGCATGGTGGCCTGAAGGTAGAAAGACTTCAAGAAAAGAGAGTGAGTCAAGCCTCCAGGCAGATTTTTCTGTCTACTTGAGAGTCCAGCTATGGAAGGTACATAGTTTCAGTGCTGCTCTCCCTTGGTTGGAACACATCACAGAGTCAGCCAGAATTTACAGAGAGGAAATAGACCATCTAGCAGTGGGAGGAAAGACAAAGAATTTGCAGCCATCTTGATCCACCCCACACCTGTGGAGAAATGTTGGGAGGATTTCTTTTCCTTGGGATAGGAAAAACACCTAGCTCAGTGTTTGACACATGAATTATGTCAAATGCATATCACATGAAGAGTAGTTATGGTAAGAGTGGGGAGAGAGAGCTGTTGCTTTGCATGTATTGGGCAGCTCTGGCTGCTGATGAAGATATTCAACTTCCAGTCTAGGCCAGAGGGCCTTGTGAAATTTAGCCTGAATTCAGCCACAGCTGTGTTGATTGCAGACTTAAGTGATGTTATTACAGGTCTCTCTGTCCTTCCTCCACCTTCTCTGTCCCTCTTCTCATTTCTCAGTCCCTACCCCACACATCTATTGCTTCAGCTCACTGTTTGCCTGCCATCCTTTTCTATCCCTTTGTACATTTTCTCTTTATGATACCTCTGTGCCTACATGCTTAGGACTGATTTTTTTTCAAAGGGAGAGGTGTCCTGGAGAAGTTGCGCAGTGGTTAAGAGTACTTGTTGCTCTTCCAGAGGACCCAGGCTCAGTGCCCAGCATCCACACGGCGGCTCACAGTCATCCTTAACTCCCACCCCAGGGGGTCATGCACCATCTTTTGGCTCTGCAGGCACCAGACATCCACATGGAACTCAAACATACATCTAGGCAAAATGTGTGTGTGCATTAACAAACAAACAAACAAACAAACAAACAACGTATTTTTAAAAGCCTCCTCAGCTATAGTCCCAAGGAAGATACCGGCCAGTTCAGCCTGGTCATTCGTTCATTCCTGAACCAGTAACACTGCCCAGGAGACACGCTTCTATGCCAGACTGGCAGACCCCTAAGACCACAGGGAATGGAGGTGCAGAGATTTTTTTAAACAGAATAGAGGAAGGAAACCTCAGGACAGACATTAACGATGGCTTCCAGGACATCCATCTACTCCCATGGAGCCCCTTCAGCCACTGGATCACCTATCTGGGCTGGGCCGCAAAGCATCATGGTCGACAGGGCATGTCAGGCGGTGGAAGAAGGAAGAGGCCTTTGTGATGTCCTTCCTGTCTCTCTTCCATCTAATGCCTGAGTTTCGGGGCAACCT